TAGTCAATTGATTAACAAAGTTAGCTACATAAAATATATATTTCCACGTTAACCAGAGCCGGCTTTAGGCCACTGTAACCATATGGTCACACAAGTCTCTTATACTCTGTATGTTTAAATGCATTTATATTTTCTAAAATTTGAATAGCGCAAGTAATGTTTAGTAAGAAAATTATAATTAATTGCAGGTTAACTTTGACTGAACTAGCTGACATATTAGAATTTGAAGAATTTTGGAAAGATGAAGAAATTACCGATATTTATATCGAACCACCACCAACCAACGTCCAGTCAGATGAAGATTCCGCGGATGAGGACAATGGACAATCTTTCAGGACGGCAACTTCAATCTGCTGCTGAGGCAAAAGACTTGGTGAAGAAAAATATGACAAAGAAGATGATCTTCCTTTCAACTGTTTTGAAAACAAGCCAATACAGTGGGAATGGGTGAAAACTGGCGATCTACACGTCCTTGGTAAAAGTTTTCCCGAATGCGACAAATCTAAATACCGAAATATGTTTCATGTAGATTTTTTTGAACTTTTCATGGATCAAATCATCATTGATTTTTTGGTTGAAGAATCCACCAATTATGCACACTTTTTAAATCGTAGTGACCCAATGGTTCATTGCAAAACTCATATTATCTGGGTATAATAGTCTCCCTGGAAGAAAATTATTTTGGGATAATGGCGAAGATGTCCGCAATTCTATGGTACACAAATCCATGCGCCGAGATCGCTTCATTCAAATTATGAGATTTTTGCATCTTTGCGATAATACAAAATTAAACATGGCCGATAAGATGATCAAAGTAAGACCTTTTATGGATCTGTTGAAGGAACGCTTTATTGGTCACTATATCCCTGAACAAGAACTGTGCTTTGATGAGAGCATGATAGAATACTATGGGCGCCACGGATGTAAGCAGTTCATTCGTGGAAAGCCCATAAGGTTTGGATATAAAGTGTGGAGTCTAAATTTAAAAAATGGTTACCTTGTCAATTTTGATCATTCCGATACGGATCACCAGAAAAAATTTGGAAAAGCTGCAGCGCCGCTCCTATAACTAATAAAGGATCTTCCCAAAGAAATACAAATTTTGCTATAGCAAAATTTGTATACTAAATTTCTATTTTGATAATTTGTTCACGTCGCCTAAATTGTTGATTTATCTTAACAAATTGGGTTACAAAGCAACTGGTACGATACGAGAGAATCGTGTGCCAAAAGATTGTCCAATTATACCAGTAAAAACGATGAAAAAGAAAAAACGTGGAGAATATGACTATGCCTTAGACAAAAATCAGTCAGTCTTCATAGTTCGGTGGATGGACAACTCTGTCGTTACAGCTGCGTCTACAGTTCATGGACTGAATCCAGTAACTAGTAACTACGGCTAGCAGATACTCCATGTTACAAAAGAAGAGAGTTGGTATTCGACGTCCCAATATTTTTGCACAATATAACCAATTTATGGGGGGAACTGATCAAATGGACGCTAACATAGGGACATATAGAATCGGCATACGAGGAAAGAAGTGGTATTGGCCCATTTTTACGTACTTAAACGCGTGGGTACTGATGAAATCAACAACCGGAAACAATATCTCCCAATTAAATTTCCGTCGAGAAATTGTTCAAACCTACCTGAGAAGATTTGGGGTGCCTCCTAAAGGACCTGGTCGACCTTCGTGTTATTCAGATGATACACGAGTTTCACCTGATTTGAGATATTTTCAAGCAGGTCATCTTGTGGAACCCGTTCCAGGTAACAAAAGAAGGCGCTGTGCAGGTGACAACTGTAAAAGTGGTTGTACTCAGTATCAAAAGTGCCAAATTGGACTATGTATACCTTGTTTTATACCTTACCATACTCGTTAGTAAATATTTCAACATAATACAAATTTTTGGGTACCTTTTCATTCTCTATTTTACCATAATCACTAATAAATAGTTTTCACATAAAAGTATTTTTAACAACCCCTTATAGTACTAGCGTGACCATATGGTTACATATCAAATCTCAAAAGTCTGTATATATATATTTTTAATAATATTAAATTGAGTTATAAGGACCTCTATTAAGCTTATCATCACAAAATCAAATATATTTTAAAGAAAAAATAAATTCAGGACATAATGGGTTAATAACTTCTGTAATAATTATTGTTTATATATTTTTTTAAATATTTTACGAATATTTAAATAGTACTAAAAAAACAATGATTGTTGCCTAAGTCACATTTTCAATTAAATTTACATTGTGGCTTCATATTCGTAAAGTTTCAGGTGGTATTTTCAAAGTGGCAGAAATATGTGCCCAAATGCCTTAGTTTCTATTTCAATGGGAGTTGGCCTGGTTTTCAACTTAAGTACGTGAAAACTCTTAGATGAAGCCACAATAACAATTTAATTGAAAATGTGACTTAGGCACTTCTTGCATTGACCCCTTCAATTAATTTCTACGATTTTTATTATTTTTTTCAAAAAATGGCGAGTGCGCCGGGTTTAAAATTATTAAAATGTAACGGGGGAAATTTACGTAATATAATTTGGAACATGCATTTTTGTGAGAATATTTTATAAAATAAATATTCATATTTTGTAGAATGATTTTCTCGAAAAAATGTATTTTGAACTATAAAATTCATTTTTATTAGAAAATGACTTATCAAAATTAAATTTTTGGACTGGTACTCAGTAACTGTTCTTATTCTCACCGAGTCAATTAGAATCCACGCATAAGAGTTTGTTATTAAAAAAAATCCTACGTCTCTTAAAAATTTTTTGAGAATCCAAAGCCTTTTTTTTAATTTCAATATTTTTTGAGTTTTGAACAGTTTTCATTTTGGGTCAAATTTTATCAAAATCCATGATCGAGATTTTCTAAAAAAAAACGCCAAAAACAGTTTTTTTTAATAACTTCTGTAAAATTATTGTTTATATATTTTTTTAAATATTTTACGAATATTTAAATAGTACTAAAAAAACAATGATTGTTTTCTGTATTATATAAAGTCAGAAAAAAAGTGATCCGTTAGTTATGTAGTATAGTAGTTAAAAATTAATTAAGAAATGACAATCAATAAATAGTACAATTTAGATGGCAATATCAAATAACATAATAATAATGATAATAATTATTATACCAGCAGTATATGGGCAGTGTCCATTGGGCACATATTTTCATAATTTCTCCTGGTCAATAAAAATCAAATTACCAATTTACCTAATTAAAAAATTAGTTTTCTAAAATGCCATTAAAATATTACTTTATGACATTATCCTTTGTAATTATAAAACACATTTGTTTACTTCGTATCCACAACAATTTACTGCAATAAATTATTTTTCCTACTTGTGTATTCGCGAATAAAATATTTTTGTTAGGATTTGCTCCTGGGGGATTTTATTACATTTCATAAAAAATATATGTATATGTTTAAGTTAGTTTTTATTATTTCAAGTCAAATTTTATAAAAAAAATATATTTTTACAGGTTATGTTTATTAATTTCAAGTGAAATTTCATAAAATAATGTATTTTTAAGTTATTTTTTTAATATTTTAGATAAAAATTGTAGTTTAAAACCCTTCTGGAAGGGGGTTAGAACACCCAAAACTGCCCTGCTAAGCTATAAGGCTGTATCTGCAATAATAAGTAATATAGGACAAAAGATCATTTTAATTGTTAAAAACAATAAAATTTATCAATTGCCTTTTATTACATAATATTGTAGATACGGCCTTTAAGCTTAGTACACTGAAAGAAATATATACTAAAGTTAAATAAAAAAATAATAAGGGCAAATATATTTTATGTTTCATATATGGACTACCGCATACATTGCTAAAACAAATATATTCGTTTGGTTAGCAGCCTAATGCTGCCATAGCAATATAAATGTGTTTCTAGCAATATTTTATAGTAAGGGTAAGTTTATTTTTATTTAGATCTAACATATCTTCTTTACAATAAATGTATTACAAAATTTAACATACATTCATAATAAACAGTAGTATAAATGTGTAAAGCACTAGTATAAAATTTTTAGTATAAATTTGTATTTACTTTTAGCAACAAATTTCTTTCAGTGTAGGGCAGTACAGATTTCAACAATTCTAACAAAAAATCCTATTTGCTATACTATTACAATTAAGTATGTATATTAAGTATACTAATATGCTTCAACACTTGAGCAGTGCAGGATAATTATTTTTACGTTTAAATCGAAGTATATATTATAATTTCTTAAAAATATTTCATAGGGTCTCATTAATTTTGTAATTACATTATATTTAATTTATTATGATAGGTAAACTTGTTTATGCCCAACTAAAATTGAATAGGTAGGTAGGTAACTAAAATAAAAAATTTGTATTAATTTATAATAATTGTCTTTAAATATATTTTTAAGAAAAAAAATCAAGTAAGTTATGGAAAAGATAGGCGGTGGCTAATAATATTTTCGCGGGCAACCGGCTAGCGGCCGCGAGATCTAGATTCGCGAAAGATACAGATCGTATCCTGACATTTACTGACTAATTACTCGTTAATCCTTGTTTAAAAATATGATTGTTAGAGGTAGGTAACTTAGTATAAGTATTTATCGCATCATCTTACCTTTTTTAAGTATTTTCGAGAGTATTTTAAATATAAAGAAATAAAAAATAGAGGTATAGGTATTAGAGAGTTTTTTTATATAATTAAAAAAATGCAGTATTATTTACAACAATATGTTGGTAATCAACATTGTCGAAAGCAACAAAAAAAGGTTAAGCGATTATAATTGGAGTAGTAAAACCCTAATGATAATGATAATGGCCAATTATTTTGTAAATTAAAATATTGAGTTTATATTAAATATTTTGTGACAAAAAATTATTTTAAAAATAATCATAAAAATATTTAGTTTTTATTTCAACCTGTAGATAATTTCAAGGAAAAAATAATAACGATATAAATTATCAAGACCCAAGACACGATTTTTTTCTTACCAAACTTTTCGTGTCGAACTCCATAAGAAAACTTTCCAAATTTAATACAAAAAGTAATAAAAAATATTTGTAACGTTCCAAAGTAACGCAAACTTCGCCCGCAATAACTAGAGACGCGCACTGAAAGTTCGCTGAAAGCTCGGATTTCAGAACCGCAGGTATAACGCGACTGTCGTCAAACACTGCCACGAATTTCACTGTGTACGAAAGAACATCTCGCATGGTCTGCGCTTGAGCCTCCACTTCTAATCGCACAAACAGTTGACTCTGTTTGCGTCTGCATTTTGATAAATTGTTGCTTCCAGCCGCATAACTCAATTCCCTCGTAATTACTTAGCGTTCCAATTATACTTAACAAACAACAGGCTGTTTATTTTTTTTGTTTCATTTTTTACACACTTGTATTCGAATCAATTTTCTGCGTGGATTTTTTATTCCAAAGGTGTAGGTACGTTGATATAGGGAATTAAGGTAAAAAAATACCTTTATTTGATTTTTAAGGTTTTAAAGATAATGTTTTGTTTGGGCCATTTCATATATAAATACCTTTAGTTGATTTTTAAGGTTTTAAAAATATTGTTTTGGCCCTTTTATATATATAATGTCTGAGGATCGATCTATATCAAATCAACCAATAATGGTTGTATTATTTTAGGTTAGGTTAGGTTAGAAACAGGTATAGGGGAAGGTGGGGGAATTTTGCGCGGTGGGTAATTTTACGCATAAACAATTCTTCCAGATATGAAGTAAATAATACATTTTTTGAATGTTGCAAACTTGGAAACGTTGCTTTGGGTATACGGGGACTAAAGTGTACCGCAATTAGGCTTGTAGCTTTTAGCTAGTGACCATGGTCACTAGCTAACTGTGATACATGTACGTTGATCTAAGAAATCCATGTCGTTTCCGCTACGAGTTAAGTTTAAATTTCTATCCAATCGCTTAAATGTTTATAACACAACTTTATATGATCTTTCCTCGTAATCTGGTGTATGTTTAAATTGTTCAGGTTAACCTTTGGAAAGTTTTTTAGTATCACAATATTTTTCTTGCAATGGGGGTAATTTTACGCTGAAAAATTGGGGTAATTTTGCGCTGCAAAATTTGGCCAATATGGGAGCTTTGGTATACAGGAGCCTAGATTGTTCAGCATAAACAGTTCCATTTGGGCACACGCGGAACGCGAAAAAAAAAACCCTAAAACTACATATGTGACAAATGCTGCATGTAGACCCTCTTATTTCTAAGAACAAAAATTTTATTTTTAGTTATTTATATTTGATTTTGTTTGTTTCATAGAGAAAATAGTTTTGTTTTATTTTTATGTTTTAATATAATAATATTATAGAAATAAACGGTTTATTTAGATATATCTTTAGGTATACCTACAAATCTTTCTCTTTAGAATATATACAGCGCAAATTTTCCCACTATGATGCGCAAAATTACCCTGATAGGTGGGTAATTTTGCGCAAATCCATTATTTAAAAAAATGTAGTTTTTGCATACCAAACATTTTTTTTTATAAATTGCGCATTATATACACATAGTAAACATAGTAGACTATCGCTGGTATTAATTGCAAAAGTTCACATTTAAACTTAACAAAGATACTAGTGATTGTGCTTAGATGCGCAGAATTCCCCCACCTTCCCCTACATTCAATAATTATTTAAATGTTCAGTTTTTTTTGTTAGCGGTCACCTTAACCACCAATAACCATATTGAAAATGCCATTTAGAACCCATATTGAATCCGATAAGGAAACTTATCTGGTTCTATATGGTTTTATACGTATATCCTATATGGAACGTCCTGGTTTACATTACGGAATCTATAGGGTTAAATATGGAATTCCATTTTAAAATTTTCCATATTCAACTATATAGGGAAACCTATCTGGAAATACATGTATAATATACATTGTATATGCATTTAAAACAGAAACCATATACATCCATATACATTTCTTTATAAAGACATGTACATTAGGGTGGTCGTTATGTCGGGTAAAAAAAAAAATTAACCGGGCCGCCCCTTAAATTGACTCAAAATAGGAAAAAAAAAATGTGTGCCAAATTTCAGCCCTATAGGTCTATCCTAAATTACCCCTGTGAACCACTTGTTCACTAAAAATTTAATTTTTTAATTAAAAATGATAAAGTAATTTTTAATTTTATATTTAGTATAAATAATAATAATTATTGTTATTATTATAATTACGGGAGAAATATTAATCAAATTATGCATACAATACTATACAGGGTGATCCATATTAAGGGCGCACCATTGCTAACTTCGTTATTGTTGATCATATGATTTCAGCGAAATTAGCAAACAATTAGTATTTTTTCTGCTGATTGCGAAGGTAAAACTATAAAAATATTTAAACTATACACTTTAAAGATATTCAAAAATCAAAATTTAGAATAAAAATGCTTACTTAATTTTGAACACCATGTATTTGAAAAATTAAAATGGTTTTAATATTGTTTCTTTTTTTGCACCTGCGAAGGATTTGCGGTATTTAGAGATGAGCTGAAGAGCATACTGTTTTTGGTCTTCATCTTTCGTTATTAATTGATTAAACTCAGTGAATAATTGAACCCCCCTTTCCGCAACATCATTTACAACTTTGAGATTGTTTACGATTTTTAATGCATTTTGATAACTCTCACTTTCGCTCCAAAGGGCTGGATCAATATACAAAAAGTCTTGACTGATTCCGAACCGAACAAAGAAATTTCGTGTTTGAGACGTTACAAAATCATCCATTTCTTTTTTACAGAAAATAACCATATCTTTGTATTTTAGTTCAATCCTTTTAGGAATCACATTTTCTATATCTTCAGATTGGTTTAATTCCGTTACCATGCATCGTTTCGTATTCAGTGATACTGATTCATCGAAAAATGCCATCGCAACTGATTCCGAATTAAGGTACCACAGATGGATCACCCTGTATAGTATTGTATGCATAATTTGATTAATATTTCTCCCGTAATTATAATAATAACAATAATTATTATTATTTATACTAAATATAAAATTAAAAATTAAATTTTTAGTGAACAAGTGGTTCACAGGGGTAATTTAGGATAGACCTATAGGGCTGAAATTTGGCACACATTTTTTTTTCCCTATTTTGAGTCAATTTAAGGGGCGTCCCGGTTAATTTTTTTTTTTACCCGACATAACGACCACCCTAATGTACATGTATATGGATTTATATGGTTTCTGTTCTATACCTGTAAAAATCATCCATAGAGGCCAATAGAAACCCATAAAGAATCAGAATGGAATGAATTGGTCTTTATTGGGGCTATTGGTTTCTCAACAGAATGAACACTGGTTTCTATTGGTAATTTCCGTACTGGAAAATGCCAATAGATTACAGGATATTTCCAATATTACCACTTAAATGTTCAGCGCCTGCGCAGTTTAATACAAATAACCACTTGTTTCTATTGGCAATTTCCGTACTGGAAAATACCAATAGATTACCTATTGGTCTGAATTGGTTTTTGTAAGAAGTTACAAGTTCAGGAAATTCCCAATTGGCATTCAATTGGTAAATACCACTTTAATGTTCAGAACTTGCGCAGTTTATACAAATGACCTGGTTTATACCATTTCAATGTTCAATCAATTGTGAACATTATGGTATTGGGTATTCCCAATAAAGCAATTTTAAATTAAATTTTTGTTTAAGATATCTGTTAAAAACTACCCACAGACCAAAAGAAAATCTGGTTCTATAATGCAATCTTCTATCTGGTTCTATATGGTATTTTCAATAGATAGTATCCAGGAAATTCCCAATTGGCATTCAATTGGTAAATACCACTTTAGCGCAGTTTATACAGAATATACTTTTTTTTTCAAGCGTATGACTATTTTTATATTATAATACTCATAAGCATTTATGGAAATACATTTTTTTACGCAGTTCAAAAGTCAAATTATTATAAACCGCCGTACAATAATGAAAATACATTGAAATCACATAGCAAGAGTGGTTCCATCTATCGCGTTTAGCATAAAATTAGCTTAGAAAATGTAAAATTACAGGTCACTGTAGAATAAATGCTTGTACATAACCTATAATCTGAAGTGTCACAAACTTGATAATTTCAATGTACCTAAGTACAGAATTATTAAACGTTTATATGTGTGTTACACAGTGTGTGTTATAACTGCCTCGCTTAGATCACTGAGCTCTGCTATAAATAAGCGCTTTCTCCACCTGTTAGATAATGTACTATTTAATGGCATTCAAAATTAAAAATATGGTTCCAAAACTCACACGTTTCACAGGTGGCTACGACAGATTCTTAAAACTTAAACCAGATAGAATGGAAAATAGGTTTCCATCGCGGAGATTATACGAGCAGAGGGAAAAATCTTCTGAAGTTTTACAGCCCCAATTGGAATTCACCAAAATCGATAAAATAAATGGAATTATTTGTTAATGGGGGTAAACGTGGGTATACAATGTGCCTACGTGGGTATACAATGTGCAACGTGGGTATACACTTTTTCTATGGTATACAATGTGCCTACGAATTCTTGAAAACTCTATAGTTGGAGAAATATTTCTCCAAGTATAGAGTGAAGTCCGAAAGATATCGTTCGTTAGTTTGTTTGTTCCTTTAATTTAAATTGGTTTTAAAATTAAAGATTTACATTTTTCGGAACTGATCCCGGGACTACCTTTGGTCCCAAAAGTCCCGGGATTGAAAAAAGGGCTCGGGATTGACACCCCTAGTCACTTTGTATTGATGCGTCCAGGTAGTGATGTCGTATTTCGAATTAAAATATTCGTTTAATCCGAGTTTTGAGATATTCGGATGCATCCGAATAATTAAATATTTTATGGAATCGGAATCGGATTCGGAATAATTTCGTATCCTCATATGAAAAATCCGGTTTCGGAATCCGAAATTCGGATGAATTGCATTCGGTATCAAAATTTATTGTTTATACCGTAGCCCTTTACCCAAATAGCACACGACCTCCCAAGGACATCCTGATTGGGTCTGTCCGGGCCAGTTTAGGATATCCCATTTCTGACGTACCTTGGACGTCCCTAGGACGTCATAGAATTAAATTGGCAATAGTATACCATATTCCAAAAGGCAAAAAAAGTATAGCATTTGCATCATCTGTCACCTGTCTAATGATCCAAAGTGACACATATCTGTCACCTTTAATTTTAATGTTTATTAAATTTTAATCATGGCATTGTTTTCT